AATACTGCTCTCTAACTGGTGACAAGCTTGCTGCGTACTCTCTAGTTCCACAGCATAGTACACACTCCCATCCTCTTCCTCAGACATAGACAAGAACATAAACCACATTAACCGTATCATCCTTTGATGACGATAATAGAGTTTACATAAGAGTGTCATTAATTGAGGATACCGTAGACCTCCAAGAGGATATAAACCAAGTCTTCCAGTGGGTCGCAGAAAACAGTATGAAGTTGAACGAGGGCAAATTTCACTTATTCCTTTAAGGAAATGTTGACGAATTAGAAACTAGAACTGAGTATAAAATTAGTTCTAACCAGTCAATGGAGCGACTAACTAGCGTGAGGGACTTAGATGTGATCGTGTCACAGGGTTCCAGTTTCATGGATCACAACAGTGTCATCATAACCGCGAGATAAATGATTGGATGGATAATGTGAACCTTCAAGACAAGGGATGCCGAGCCAGTGATGATCCTCTTAAAGTCACTTGTTCTCTCTAGGTTGGAATACTGTTGTACACTAACAGCCGCCATTAAGGCAGGCGAAACTGCAGCTCTAGAGAATGTACAGAGAACTTTCACTGTTCATAGAAGTTCATTCAACCACCTAAATTACTGGGAACATTTGAAGACCCTTGACCTGTACTCCCTGGCATGAAGGCGAGAAAGATACATCATAATTTACACCTCGAAAATCCTACAGGGATTAGCCTCGAATCTGCACACAGAAATGACTATATGTGACAGCAAAGGGCTCGGCAGACGGTGCAAAATATTCACAATGAAAATCAGGGCTGCCCTGTGTACAGCGCAAGATAGCACAATAAGTGTAAGGGAACCAAGACTATTCAGCAGCCTCTCTTCAAACAAAAGTGGGATTACCAATACACCACTGGTTGTCTTTAATAGGGAACTAGATAAGTTACTCAAATGTTCCTCAACACACACACACCCCACACACACACACACACACACACGCACACACAAAACACACACACACACACACACACACACACCCACACACTCCTTTCTACATCTTTCTTTGAACATAATAATGATTCCTGGGAAGCCCTCGCCAGCGACAGACAGCTCCCTATCTCTACCAGAGAAGAAGACAGGACACGGAACATTGACTATCTGTGCAAACAAGCGTCATTTCCCCGAAAAACGTAGATATATAACCTGGAGAGAGAGAGATAGAATGACCAGCATGAGAAGCGAGACGGATGACGGATTGACCCCCTTCCTCAACGACACTCTTCACCGTTCATGTTCAACCACTGAGATGGCAGGGAGAGTAGAACGATGGCAGCGGAGAGTAGAACGATGGCAGGGGAGAGTAGAACGATGACAGGGGAGAGTAGAACGATGGCAGGGAGAGTAGAACGATGGCAGGGGAGAGTAGAACGATGGCAGGGGAGAGTATAACGATGGCAGGGAGAGTAGAACGATGACAGGGAGGGGTATAACGATGGCAGGGGAGAGTAGAACGATGGCAGGGGAGAGTAGAACGATGGCAGGGGAGAGTAGAACGATGGCAAGGGAGAGTAGAACGATGGAAGGGGAGAGTAGAACGATGGCAGCGGAGAGTAGAACGATGGCAGGGGAGAGTAGAACGATGGCAGGGGAGAGTAGAAACGATGCCAAGGGAGAGTAGAACGATGAAGGGGAGAGTAGAACGATGGCAGGGGAGAGTAGAACGATGGCAGGGGAGAGTAGAACGATGGCAGGGGAGAGTATAACGATGGCAGGGGAGAGTAGAACGATGGCAGGGGAGAGTATAACGATGGCAGGGGAGAGTAGAACGATGGCAGGGGAGAGTAGAACGATGGCAGCGGAAAGTAGAACGATGCCAGGGGAGAGTAGAACGATGACAGGGGAGAGTAGAACGATGGCAGAGGAGAGTAGAACGATGGCAGGGGAGAGTAGAACGATGGCAGGGGAGAGTAGAACGATGGGAGCGGAGAGTAGAACGATGACAGGGGAGAGTAGAACGATGGCAGGGAGAGTAGAAACGATGGCAGGGGAGAGTAGAACGATGGCAGGGGAAGATAAATAACGATGGCAGGGGAGAGTAGAACGATGCAGGGAGAGTATAACGATGGCAGGGGAGAGTAGAACGATGGCAGGGGAGAGTAGAACGATGGCAGGGGAGAGTAGAACGATGGCAGAGGAGAGTAGAACGATGGCAGGGGACAGTAGAACGATGGCAGGAGGAGAGAGAACGATGGCAGGGGAGAGTAGAACGATGCCAGGGGAGAGTAGAACGATGCCAGGGGAGAGTAGAACGATGACAGGGGAGAGTAGAACGATGGCAGAGGAGAGTAGAACGATGGCAGGGGAGAGTAGAACGATGGCAGGGGAGAGTATAACGATGGCAGGGGAGAGTAGAACGATGACAGGGGGGAGTAGAACGATGGCGGGGGGGGAGGAGTAATAAACGATGGCAGGGGAGAGTAGAACGATGGCAGGGGAGAGTAGAACGATGGCAGAGGAGAGTAGAACGATGGCAGGGGAGAGTAGAACGATGGCAGAGGAGAGTAGAACGATGGCAGGGGAGAGTATAACGATGGCAGGGGAGAGTAGAACGATGGCAGGGGAGAGTATAACGATGGCAGGGGGGAGTAAACGATGGCAGGGGAGAGTAAACGATGACAGGGGAGAGTAAACGATGGCAGGGAGAGTATAACGATGGCAGGGGAGAGTATAACGATGGCAGGGGAGAGTATAACGATGGCAGGGGAGAGTAGAACGATGACAGGGGAGAGTATAACGATGGCAGGGGAGAGTAATCGATGGCAGGGGAGAGTAGAACGATTGCAGGGAGAGTAGAACGATGGCAGGGGAGAGTATAACGATGGCAGGGAGAGTATAACGATGGCAGGGGAGAGTATAACGCAGAGAAAGAACGATGGAAATATTACAGGCAGAAGTTAAAGATCTTGGGAGACCATAGTAGGAATTAGTGCTTTTGTGTGTGCGTATAAAGTGCAGGAGAGTAGAACATCAGGGGAGTTCGTTTGGGGGAGGAGTACGATTGTATGAAAGTATAACTTTTGCCATGTGAGAGTATACGATGCAGGGTGTATTTGTATAAAAGGATCGGAAGGTAAAACGATGGCAAGGTGCAGAGTATAACACGGCATAGAGAGTAACGATGGCAGGGAAGTAATAACGATGGCAGGGAGAGTAAAACGATGGCAGGGGAGAGTAATAACGATATGGCAGGGAGAGTAAACGATGGCAGGGGAGACTATAACGATGGCAGGGAGAGTAAACGATGCAGGAGAGTAAACGATGGCATCGGGGAGTATACCAAAGGCAGGGAGAGTATAACGATTGGGGAGGGAGATAGAACGATGGGAGGGAGAGTATAACGATGCAGGGGGGAGTATAACGATGGCAGGGGAAATAGAAAAATGGAGGGGGGATAGAACGATGGCGGGAGAGTATAACGATGGCAGGGGAGAGTATAACGATGGCAGGGGAGAGTATAACGATGGCAGGGGAGAGTATAACGATGGCAGGGGAGAGTATAACGATGGCAGGGGAGAGTATAACGATGGCAGGGGAGAGTATAACGATGGCAGGGGAGAGTATAACGATAGAAAGAACTGTGGAAATATTACAGTCCTATAAGTACCTCTTGTGGTGACCATAGTAAGAATTTTTGTCCTTTTTTGTTGTGTGCGTACCTACGTACAGTCCTTTTTTTTCTTTCATTTGATATCAGAGTTCTTTTTTTTTTGGGGGGGGGGGGGGTACTATTTATAAAAACATATACTTTTTTTTGCCATGTGTTTGTATGTGCTTTTGTTGTATTTGTTACAGGATGTAAATGGTGACCAGAATTCAGAGTGACTAAGTGCTAATTATCCCACACATATGTACGAGTAAGTCAGTAATTCAATAAGTGAGTCAGTAATCAAATAAGTGAGTAAATTAGTAAGTTAATAAATATGTACACGTCACTAGACATAAATATTCAAGATACTCAGCGTACACGAACAGTCTGGCAAACCTGAAAATTGACTTACTAGAATCTTCTACAAGGAGGCTGTCAAGTGTGTGTTGAGTCTGTATGCAAGACCACTTCTCGAGTATACAGCACTTGTGTGTAGCCCACACCCAGCACAGCATATATACAACTATTCCTTGAGGAAGTAGCGCTAGTCAGGTGCTTTACCTGAGCTATCCTCTACTTGATGGGCATTGTTGCTTGTACACTAGCGTCTGGGATCCCTGTTGTTTGGTGGAGAGTTGTATATAACTCCTATATTTACTGGTATTAATAATAATCACAGAAATAACCCAAAATTAATTTGTTTCCTTAGAACTTATTGCCACACCTGAGTATTCTGAAAATTGATGAGAAAATCACATGTGTATTACTTAGGTATCCTTATTGATGATATCTAAGTGTAACACATGTGTCTTGCCCAATTTGTTAGCATATTCCTCATAATTCTAGTGTTTCTTATATAAATTATAACTAGGTAAGTTAAGTAGAGTGTCTAACTTGCAATTAAGGTACGGAGGATCGAGCTGTCTGGTTTCTGTGAGAGATACTTTTGTTTGGTCTCTGTGAGAGCTATTATTTTCAGAGTGGTCCTCTATTACTCAGTCATTAAGTTCGCTCGTCTGATTTGATGGTCTATCGATGTTCCTGTTCACTACCTTACTGTGTGTGTTTGGCAGGCAGGGTATGCTGAGTGGTGGGCAGGCAGGGTATGCTGAGTGGTGGGCAGGCAGCGTATGCTGTCTGTCAGCAGGTACACTGTCAGCACGTACACTGTCAGTCAGCAGGTACAGTACCACTCACCAGGTACAGTACCAATCACCAGGTACAGTGCCAATCACCAGGTACAGTGCCAATCACCAGGTACAGTGCCAATCACACCTGTAGCTTCTGACACCCAAGTGACGTCACAGCTCATGGGGTTACGTCACGGGAGGCGCAGGTATATAAGGGTGGCCCGGGGCCGCAAGAGTCCACTTGGCTCGTTGCCGCCGCGGGAGGAGGAGACTGTTGATCCACCTGGGTAGGTGCAACAACGCTTGCAACAAAAGTCCCGTTGCTACCACCCTCCCTTCCCCCATCCCTGTTGTTCGAAACAGCGAGACGGAGAGAACATGGTGAGTAACGAGGGGAATAATTGTGGAATATTACAGAGAGAGAGATATTAACTTCTCCACATGTAGAAGCTGGCTTCGTAATATATATAAATTTAAATATATATAAATATATATATATATATATATATATATATATATATATATATATATATATATATATATGTATATAATATATATATATATATATATATATATATATATATATATATATATAAATATATATATATATATATATAATATATAACCATAAGGTGCATAAGTGTGCGAAACGATGGTGTTTTCGAATCTCATCAGAGGGATCGCTAAACTACAGGCTCGAAACCCCGTTACTCCACTGCTAAATTCGTTTCATTTGTTTAATGCTGTTTTTTCAGCAAAAGGCATTTGTTAATTAGTAACTAAATGCATATACATACATACATACATACATACATACATACATACATACATACATACATACATACATACATATATATACATCCTGGTCAAGGACGTCAATAAATTAGAAAGAGTGCAAAGGTTTGCAACAAGACTAGTCCCGGAGCTAAGGGGAATGTCCTACTAGGAGAGGTTAAGGGAAATCGACCTGACGACACTGGAGGACAGGAGGGAGAGATAGGGAGGACATGATAACAACATATAAAATACTGAGAGGAATCGACAAGGGATGTGACACAGCAACACGGGGGTCACAACTGGAAGACTGAGATGAGTCACAGGGATGTTAGGAAGTAATTTTTCAGTCAAGGGTTGTCAGGAAGTGGAATAGTCTGGAGAGTGATATACTGGAGACAGGATCCATACATAGCTTTATGAATAGGTATGATCAAGCTCATGGAGCAGGGAGAGAGAGGAGCTAGTAGTGACCAGTGAAGAGGCAGGGCCAGGAGCTATGACTCGGCTACTCCAACCACAATTAGGTGAGTACATACATACACTCATGCATGCATGTATACATACACACATACATTAATTCATTCATACATACACAGGAGCTGTGAATCGACCCCTGCAACCACAAATAGGTGAGTACATGCATACATACATACATACATACATACATACATACATACATACATACATACATACATACATACATACATACATACATACTTTCATTCATACATGCATATATTTTCCTTGTCTCTAAATGACTAGTGAATGAATAAGACGCTTCTTCTTCTTCTTCTTCTTCTTCTTCTTCTTCTTCTTCTTCTTCTTCTTCTTCTTCTTCTTCTTCTTCTTCTTCTTCTTTCTTCTTCTTCCTTCTTCTTCTTCTTCTTCTTCTTCTTCTTCTTCTTCTTTATTATTATTATTATTATTGTTATTATTATTGTTATTATTATTATTATTATTATTATTATTATTATTATTATTATTATTATTATTATTATTGTTGAAGTAGACACATGTGCAGCTCTTGGGTATCTTTATTGAGGAAACGTTTCGCCACACAGTGGCTTCATCAGTCCATACAAAGGAGAATCTTGAAGAACAGGAGGAGAATGAGGTAATCAGTCCCTCAACCTTGAGTCGATGTGGTCAGTCCATCATTCTTGAATATAATACGGCATACGTGCTGAGAAGGAGCTTATAAACCGTTGGTAGGAGAGGTGCAGCAGTCATAGGTGACTGATTACCTCATTCTCCTCCTGTTCTTCAAGATTCTCCTTTGTATGGACTGATGAAGCCACTGTGTGGCGAAACGTTTCCTCAATAAAGATACCCAAGAGTTGCACATGTGTCTAATTTATCAACATGTCGGTTCTCTGAACCATCCATCTACTAATTATTATTATTATTATTATTATTATTATAACCATTATTATTATTATCATTAATAATTATAATTACTATTATAAACATTATTATTATTATTATAACAATTATTATTAATTATTACTATTATTATTATTATTATTATTAATATTAATTTTATTATTTATTATTATTATTATTATTATTATTATTATTATTATTATTATTATATTATTATTATTATGATTATTATTATTATTAATTTTATTATTATTATTATTATGATTATTATTATTATTATTATTATTATTATTATCATTATAACGTGAAACACTAAACCCGTGCGGGCCACTTAAGGCACAGAGTGGCAAGCCTTGACCCTCCGTACAGACCTTGCTTGTACAGACCCTGTTTGTACAGACCCTGCTTGTACAGACCCTGCTTGTACAGACCCTGCTTGTACAGACCCTGCTCGTACAGACCCTGTTTGTACAGACCCTGCTTGTACAGATCCTGCTTGTACAGACCCTGCTTGTACAGACTCTGCTTGTACAGACCCTGCTTGTACTGACCCTGCTCGTACAGACCCTGTTTGTACAGACCCTGCTTGTACAGATCCTGCTTGTACAGACCCTGCTTGTACTGACCCTGCTCGTACAGACCCTGTTTGTACAGACCCTGCTTGTACAGACTCTGCTTGTACAGACCCTGCTTGTACTGACCCTGCTCGTACAGACCCTGTTTGTACAGACCCTGCTTGTACAGATCCTGCTTGTACAGACCCTGCTTGTACAGACCCTGCTCGTACAGACCCTGCTTGTACAGACCCTCCTTGTACAGACCCTGCTTGTACTGACCCAGCTCGTACAGACCCTGCTTGTACAGACCCTGCTTGTACAGATCCTGCTTGTACAGACCCTGCTTGTACAGACCCTGCTCGTACAGACCCTGCTTGTACAGACCCTGCTTGTACAGACCCTGCTTGTACAGACCCTGCTTGTACAGACCCTGCTTGTACAGACCCTGCTTGTACAGACCCTGCTTGTACTGACCCTGCTCGTACAGCCCCTGTTTGTACAGACCCCTGTTTGTACAGACCCTGCTTGTACGGGCCCCTGCTTGTACAGACCTGCTTTTTACGGGACCCTGCTTTGCAACAACTGCTTGTATGCCCCTTGCTTGTACGACCCTGCTTGTACAGACCCGGGCTCGTAAAAGACCCTGTTTCCCCCCAAAACCCCTGTTGTACGGGCCCCTTTGCTTGTACAGTCCTGCTTGTACAAAACCCCTGCTTGTACAGCCCCTGCTTGAAAACAGACCCTGCTTGTACGCCCCTGCTTTTACAAAACCCCTGTTGTACAGACCCTGCTTGAAAAAACCTTTTTGTATTACCCGTTGTACGGGACCCTGCTTGTAAAACCCCTTTTTTGTAAGCCCCTGTTTGGTAAAACCTTGTTTGTATAGATCCTGTTTGTCAGCCCCTGTTTGTATAGACCCTTTTGGGTACGACCCTGCTTGTACAGACCCTGTTGTACGCCCCTTTTTGTATGGGACCCTGTTTGTCCCCCGGGGGGGGGGCCCCCTGCTTGTACAGCCCCTATTGTACAACCCTGTTTGTATAGACCCTGGTGTACAGCCCCTCCCTTTGTACAGCCCCTACTTTTGTACAGCCCCTGTTTGTATGGGGACCCTGTTTACAGACCCTGCTTGAACAGCCCCTACTTTTTAACGCCCCGTTTGTATGACCCTTTTTTGTACAGACCCTGCTTGCAGCCCCTTTTGTACAGACCCTGTTTGTACAGCCCCCTATTTGTACGGGACCCGGGTTTGGGTATAGACCCCTGTTTTTGAAACAGACCCTTTTTTGTATACCCCCGGGTTTGTACGGGACCCGCTTGTACAGCCCCTACTTGTACGGGACCCTTTTTTTGAAATAGACCCTGTTGTACGGGCCCCTGTTTTATAGCCCCTGTTTGTAAGCCCCTGTTTGTACCCCCTACTTCAAACAGACCCTGTTTTTGTATAAACCCTGTTGTACCGACCCTGTTTGTTTTAAAAACCCGTTTTTACGACCCTTTTTTGTACAAACCCAAATTCAACAGACCCTGTTTTTTTATAGACCCCCCCTTGTACGGGAACCGGGCTTGTACAAAACCCTACTTGTACAGACCCGTTTGTATAGCCCCTGCGTGAAACAGCCCCTGCTTGTACAGCCCCTATTTGGGTACAGCCCCCTTTTTTTGTATAGAACCTGCTTTTTACAAAACCCTGCTTGTAAGCCCCAAATTTGTACGCCCCTGTTTGTATAGGCCCCCTGTTTTTAACAGCCCCTGTTGTACAAAACCCTATTTGTCCCGGACCCTGTTTGTACAGACCCTATTTGGGTACAGCCCCTTTTTGTATAGCCCCCTGCTTGTAAAAACCCTTTTTTTGTAAGACCCTGTTTTGTACAGACCCTGCTTGTACAGACCCTACTTGTAAAGACCCTTTTTGTAAGACCCTGCTTGTACAGACCCTGTTTGTTAGCCCCTGTTTGTACACCCCCCTTTTTTTGTCCCGACCCTACTTCTACGACCCTTTTTTGTTTTGACCCTGTTTGTAAAAGGCCCCTTTTTGTATACCCCCCTTTTTGTACAAAACCCTGTTTTGTACAGACCCTACTTTAAGCCCCTTTTTTGTATCCCCCTCCCCTTGTACCCCCTGTTTGTAAAAGGCCCACTTCAAAGGGACCCTGTTTTGAAATAGCCCCCTTTTTTTGTACAGCCCCTGTTACAAAACCCTTTACTTGTACGGGCCCCTGTTTGTACAGACCCCTATTTCCCTACAAGCCCCTGCTTGTACAGACCCTGCTTGTACAGACCCTGCTTGTACAGACCCTGCTTGTACAGACCCTGCTTGTACAGACCCTGCTTGTACAGACCCTGCTTGTACAGACCCTGCTTGTACAGACCCTGCTTGTACAACCCTTGCTTGTACAGACCCTGCTTGTACAGACCCTGCTTGTACAGACCCTTCTTGTACAGACCCTGCTTGTACAGACCCTGCTTGTACAGACCATGTTCTTCCCACTAACAGGAACACAAAATATACGCCATGATTAAGCGTAAGAAAATATTAGATATACACTTTATATAATAGTATACTCATACAAGGTATAAGCTGTGTTTAAGGATACATACACCGGGATATACACACTCCAAATATATGTTATGCTTAAGGATATGTATACCCTATATATAAAC